AATTTGTTTTTTTCACATATAAGTCATAATTTCTAAGATTAAAGATATGTTAATTGATTTATGATTATTTTTTTATAACATATATATATATATATATATATATATATATATATATATATATATATATATATATATATATATATATATGGTAGGTACATGGCTTAAAAGATATTGTTTTATTGTTATAATGTAATGTGTTTCTGATTTGCAGTAATCGTTCCAAATTGTCATGTTTTTATATGTATAATTTAATAATAATAATAATAATAATAATAATAATAATAATAATAATAATAATAATAATAATTGTTATTATTTGAATTATGTAAATCTATATAATGCTCCCTAAGGAAAGTCATAGGCTACTATCTCAATTAATTATATTTATATTTTAAAAGCATTAAATATTTGTATTAATCTCTTTTCAATTATCAACATTCATTTATAGTAATAATTTTGCGCTTCTTTGCCAGGTCTCTCTTTAGTTTCACTGTAGCTTTAAAAACTTCCTATCGGGTTTGGAAGTGGGCCCCGCCTCTGAAGAGCCGTCCCATGAGCCATAAAGTTTGATGTCCTGCCCAAAGTTTAGACTCAACACTATGAAACTTTTTTTTTTTCCTTGAAGCAGTGAGGAGCGGAGATTTGCACAGCCCCAGCTATGATTTTTAATGAAAGATAAACCAACATATAGTTTTGTTTTGTTTTGTTTTTTCAGATATAACCTTTTAAAGAGTCGCTCGGCTCTGTCAGCCATAAGTTCATGTCGTGATTTTTCACTTTTTTGCGGTTTTTCGAGCGCAGGGGCCCCGGGACAGCAGATTCCTGAGTGGAGCAGATATGCGCTTTGTTACATTTACAAGAATGCCAGCAGGAAACGACTGGAAAACGCTGGTCTTCACTGCAGATTCTGACAGCTAACACACTTTTACAAGAAAAAGAAATAACTTTTGAAGTCAACTTTTAGGATGACTCTGGATATGATTTAGTCTGCTGAGATTCGTCGAGATTTTTTTCCCAATTTCCTGCTGCGCGTCCACAGGCTTTGGAGCTGCGCTTTAGTTTATGCGCTTTTACTCTTTGGGACACTTAAAAAAGTTAATCTGATAGTTGTGTTTTTATTTTATTTTTTGTTTGTTTGTTTGTATTTTATTTTTTTTTTTATTTGTTTTTAAATTTGGGGGGGAACAAAAATGGATCCGAACCAACACAACCCTCCTGCTGGACACCAGATCGTCCACGTACGGGGCGACTCTCAGACAGACCTGGAGCTGCTTTTTAACAGCGTGATGAATCCGAAAAACTCCAACGCCCCAGCCTCCCTGCCTATGAGGATGAGGAAGCTCCCAGACTCCTTCTTCAAGCCCCCGGAGCCCAAGTCCCACTCCAGACAAGTAAGCCCGCCCTGTTGTGGCCCCGCTGATTAAAGCTGGGGCCTCCGTGTGGGCCTCAGTGCGTCTCTCACCCACTTGATTACATTTAACTCCTCTATTCTCATACCTTTTTTTTTATTTTCAAACTTCTAAAACAACTTTCTAAATATTTATGTTTTTCAGAACAAAAAAACAAAAAAATTTACAAACGAAAAGTCACTTTATAACTTTACAATTGCACTTAATCAGCTATTTCATTTAGATAATTTTTAAATAACATTAAAAAATATGTCAATTTTTAGTAAGGAGATCACTGTTTTCCATTAGGCCTAAATAAAAGTAGCCTAATGAATCACATGTGGTCAATAAACACGGACTTAAGTAGAGGATAAAGAAAATATTCACACAATTCAATAGTATGATTCCTTGCAACAAAGATGACTTGTTTTCTGAAATGATCCCATCTACTCCCTGTGCGCCCTTCTTAAAGATCAAGTTTTGTAAGCAGTGCGCATGCCCGTAGAGGCTTCATTGCCCTGCCGCGAGAACGCGCATCGCGTCCACATATCTGGGAAGAAAACGGATTTTATGACCAATGGAGCGCTTTAAAAAAAAAAAACTTTCTATTGTTTGTCGGATGGATTTAAGAAATTATGGTTTTGACTACCTTTTTTACTTTGAGTTGAAAGTTTTAGTCTCTCAATAATCTCCCAATGTAATCAGCATTATAGAATAGAAAATCCCTTTATTGTCCCACAGTGGGGAAATTCTGGTGTTTACATCAGCAAAGAAAAAATATAGAAAAAAATGGTCACACAGATGTGGACCTTAGAAAAATGTATAACAATAACATAATAGTGAAGAGTTAAAAAATAAATAAAAATAAAATACTGTACTGTAAAGTGTTTTAACAATATAAAAACTGTGCACCTGGAGAATAAATAACCAATATACCTCTATGGACATTTTTACAGTAATGGATGTTTGAAAAAGGTAACAACATCAGAGATGTGCAAAATGACAGCTGCATGTTATTTGACTAAGACAGTAACTGTGTAATATAATCAAATTAGGGATTATTCTCTATTTTTAAACACCAGTAGCATTTATACCGCCGTTAAAGGCTAGAATTCAGAATGTGGTGATCTGTATTTTCTCAGGGGTTTTGATAACTCAATGCACTTTAATGAAAAAAACAAAAACATAATTGCATTTATGCAGGTGGACTTTGACCGGATCAGTGGGGTTGATACCTTTTTAAAGATCACAAATTGGAGCAATAAAAACTACTGGATGATAAACATTATAAAGATGTGTAGAATGCAGTGAGTGCTCCCTAAGTGACCATTCTGCTAAGGAATCACATTTACACTGATTTCTTTTTAGTGTAGATAATATTTGCTGGATTTTATTTTTTACGCATCTTTATAGTGATTTGTGCAGTGTAATACATTTTATTAATAAATTAAAATGCCACAAAGTATTTGTAAATATGAACGCTTTCTAAAAAAACTTGAAATGAACAATTATAAGGTTGAAATATAGCAGAATTAAACATCTAAGCCTATGTAAAGGGAAAGGGGATTGCTTTTAAGTTGGTTTGGTAAGCTGATTTAGAGTACTTCTTTATCCATCCATCCATTTTCCGTCACTCTCTAACTCTTGCTGGGGTCGCAAGGGATGCTGGTGCCTATCTCCAGTTGTCTACAGGCGAGAGGCGGGGTAAACTTCATCGCAGGGCAACACAGAGACAAACAACAATTCAGGTACCCACTCGGACCTAAGGAGAATTTAGAGAAGCCAATTAACCTAACAGTCATGTTTTTGACTGTGGGAGGAAGCTGGAGTACCCGGAGAGAACCCATGCATGCACAGGAAGAAAATGCAAATTCCATGCAGAAAGATCAAAGGCCAGGAATCAAACTGGAAACCTTCTTGCTGCAAGGCAACAGTGGTCCCCACTGCACCACTGAGCAGCCCTACTTCTGTAATCCCAGAGAAAAATGTTATGTCATCTATAAGTGGATAATGCATTTTTTGGCATTTTTTGAGGCTGCCAAAATCTGCACCCCGTCCTATTTTTACCTCAGATATCATTTTAATTTTCACCACAGTCACTCCAGTAGCTCTTGGATTATCGTAGAAAGTGTTATAACATCCATTGGTTCCTAATCCTCCTAGTTACCAGCGGTAGGGTAGAGACTAAGGTTACCAAGAAGCTTTTAGAAGTTTGCTGTCTTTCAGAGGACACACAATGTTTGAAAATAAAACCTGCAGAGAAAAGCAAGCAATGTTATTAGTCTATATCTTTAATTGTAGTTAGACTATTACTGGACTAAAAGTTAACTAATAACCACTTATGAGAATGACTTTGTCTGTTTTTCTCTTCCAGGTTAAAAATAAACAAAACATAAGAACTGGTTTGTGATTAAGGCATAAAGTCTTTTCCTAGCAAGGTGGCCTGTAAATCTTTACCCTGACAACCATGGCTAAGTTGTGTCGTACGTAAGCGACAACTCCCTGGGGCCTCAGATGCTCTCCCTCATGAGTTTCACTTTAGCATTGGTGACGTCTTCAAACTAGTCAAAGCATACAGTTAGACTGAAATGCTTTTACAATTTGTTCCTAGAAAGTATCCTTTTAATGTTTCCAATGAAGATTCCAGCTAGGAGTGTTCTTCTTGAAACCCACCTCAGTTTCCTGGCAAGTTAGCAGTAATACTGTCACTAGATATTAGTATTTAATAGATAGAGCTGACATTTTTTGCCCCGACACAAAGGTTGCTTGAAAGTAGAGCCCTGCACTCCCGCGGGAGTCCCGTGGGACTCGCGGGACCCAACGCAAAGCAGTGCGGCGCGGGACAAATATTGAAAGCTCATTGAGGGTGTGGGCGGGAGAGGTGTAAAGTTGCAGTCCCGCAAATTAAAAACATGTTTTAAAACGTAGAATAAAATGTAAAATGAAGTCAGAAATTATCAGTCTATGTCTCATATATATATAAGTGTTGCACCGATTCCGATACCAGTATCGGACGGGGCCCCGATACTGCCCTAAAATGGTGGTATCGGTATCGGCGAGTACCAACAAATAGGGCACCGATACCATTTTGAGAGCCAAAAGTTTATTCAACTATTGTCACCCACTCCTGGTAGGCAATAAAAAGTTCTACTGGATTCACTTTGTATTAGATTTTTTCCTGCTTCACAAAGGTAGGCAGCAGCTTGACAAAGCCATGATGGCAATTATTTTACATTATTATGGTATCGGTATCGGCCGATACTGCACAGCCAGTTATCGGGTATCAGTATCTGGGCCAAAAAATGGCAACACTAATATATATACATCACAATGTGCTGGATGTTAGGGATGGAACGGTTTATGAAAACCGTTCGGTTCGACTGTCTCGGTTCGATTCACGTGTGTTGCGTTTGGTTCATGTGCTGCTCCTTTTTCTCATAGGCGAAGCGTGTACACTCCAGAGCAAAAGGTGGTGGTACTGCGACCAAAGCCAACCACCAGTAGTAAACAAGAAGAAGAAGCGAAGCAGCTTAGCCGGGTGTAGCAGAATAAAAATCAGTTGCTGTGGAGAATTGTGTGGGTATGGCGAGTGGGAAAGAACAGGAGTCGGAAGACGCTCCAGCAGCACTTTATAGGTCTGCTGTATGGGACCACTTTGCATTTAGAGTGACCTACGATGACGGCGGAAAGAAAGTTGTGGATAAAAGTGCAACAGTGTGCAAGCATTGTTCAACACGCGTTGTACTATACAAGACATAACAGATTTTCCTAAAAATCAACATATACCGAACCGAACCGAAAACCGTGACCACGAAACCGTGAACCGAACCGAACCGTGGATTTTGTGAACCGTTCCACCCCTACTGGATATTGCAGCTCATGCCACCTAACATGCACTATGCAGTGAAGAATCGGCCAGTAATGTGCTCAGCTAAGCACAGCCTGTTTAATTCCTCAAACTAATGACACGAATTGCCTTGAGCAGTCGGCGAACAAATCATGCGGGAATTGCGGGCGGGAGCAGGACTGAAAATCATATTTCTTTGCGGGAGCGGGACTGAACACTGCGGGAGCGGGCAGGTGTGGGACTGGAAAATCTGGCCTCTACTTGAAAGCACAGATGTTTATATTTGCGAACCTACGCCAAAAACGAAATGCCGCTTGTTTGTTCGCCATGTTCACCACGGAACTGCCCAGGTGAGAAAAAATCAAGCAATGCAGTAGCTGTGCAGAGGAGCGCGGAAGCTGAAGTGATGTCATTTGGCTGCTCACGCTTCAAGCATAAAACAGCCTTTAGCCCCTCATCGTCTCATAGCCAAGCTAAGCAAAGTTAGCAGTTAGGCTCCCCTATTTTTAATGGATTAAGGTTACTTTTCAATAGGATCATGGTAATAATTTAATCGTATCCTTCCCCATATTTATAACAAAAACATGTCATTGATAATCTACATCAATGTTACATTTTTCAGCTATATATTCAATTCCAAAATCTAGCTCAACAGTTGTTAAACATTACATTTACAGACTTATATGCTTGATCAACACCTTTTTATTATTTATTGCTTTCCAAACACCTCTTTATGTTATTGTACATCAACTCTAGTAAACAAATTGTTCTCTTTATATGATGAAACAAGTAGGTTGTTCTAAACAATGTAAGATGATGAAAGTAAAATGAAAACTGGATATGTGAATTAATATTGGCTTTTTAAACTTTATTACAGGCCAGCACAGATGCTGGGAGCGGCGGAGTGCTCACTCCCCACCACGTCCGTGCGCACTCTTCCCCAGCCTCCCTGCAGCTGGGAGCCGTGTCTGGCGGCTCCCTCTCTGGAATGGCCTCTGCGGGTGCCTCTCCTCAGCATCTCCGTCAATCCTCCTATGAGATTCCTGATGAAATGCCCCTGCCAGCAGGGTGGGAGATGGCAAAGACTCCCTCTGGCCAGAGATACTTTCTTAAGTAAGTATGATTGAAGGAAGTTTCTTATATTTTGTAGTTCACAAAAATACTTGGCAGCCTCAGAGAAGAGATTTGAAATATTGCAGCTGGATTGCTATAACTTTATTAAAACATCTGTAGCTTTAAAACGTAGTTAGACCCCTTAGTTTTGCCTTAGCATCATTTCACGTAACTAAAAAACAATATGCAGTGTTCCATTTTTTTAAACACTGACAATAATTTTCATTAACTAAGGTTTCTGTTGCCATATAGCGCTCATAAAAGAAAGACACCTACTTTAACAGCATATTCCCTTGAATGACTTCAATCATACGTTTTTAAATCCATGCTGGATGTGATACAACCTTCGACCTCAATCTTTAATGAACTCTGTACGGTTCTGCTAAGATTCAGGCTGACATTAGTATGTCTAGTCTCTTTTGATATGACCTGTAACTTATTTAGATATACTTTTACTTCACTGTGTAACTCAGAATTACACACTGGAAAAACGATCTACAAATAAGTAAACATTTTTTTAAATTAAGTGTATTTACCCTTAATTTGAGCAGGTAAATGGGATTATTTGCCAATGGAATGAGTATTTTAACTCTTGAAATAAGATAATTAGATAAAATGCACTTGAAATAAGAAAATGCAATTGTATTTTCTTATTTTAAATGTAACTTGTCTTGTTCAGTTGGCCAAGTGTCTCTTTTACCTCCTTTTCCAGTGCAGAGAAAGTTGTTTCCCTTCTTCTTAGACTTTGTTCTTTTCTTTGAATGTTATAATTTTTGTTGACTAGTGCGTCAGCTTCTTTTGGTAACATGCTGTCTTGGCTTGGCAAAGCCAAGAAAGCATTGATAGCCAATGCATTCTCTCTTTTCCTAAAGAATTTACTCTAAATAATAAGCAAAACTTAAGTGGCAAGTCCCAAATTTAAATTGACAAAATAATATAGAGATTTTTGATTTGATTTTGCATCAGATATGTTGTAATTGGAAGAATTTGCTGTATAAAATGGCTTAATGTCCTTCTAGTGGTTTGGTACAGACTTTCACACAGGGTTGCTTAACCAATTTCATAAGATTGCCATGACTGGATCACGACAAGTTGATATTTGTGGTTTTGTGCTATTTTAGAAAAGAGTAATCCACTTGACTTTGTCTCCAAGTTAGGAGACATGTCCCTTGCCATCCAGGAAGCTTTTTCAATTTCAAATGTCAGAATTAGCATTTAGTACCTTGATGGGAAGCGAAATGTCTTCAAACTTGTAAACAAAGTCCAGTGGATTGGTTTTTTTTTTTACTTTTTTGGAATGACTTTGACTTAGATGACTGAGAATCTTCACCGGCACTTTTCTGATATTTGTTTTTCTATATATTGCAAATACATTGTTGGTAAGGTGCTATATTTTTGTTTGCTTTTATGAAATGTTTCTCCAAAATGGCTTTATAAGTAACAAAGTGTTACTTATAAATATATATATATATATATATATATATATATATATATATATATATATATATATATATATATACACGTGCACTTTGTTATTTTTATACTTTTTTGTATAGTTACATTTTGGAAATCTAAAATATTTCTGAATTGAATATAACGCTGATTGATTAATCTACTTTTAATTAATTTCAACGGATAAATGTTTGCATATTGGATTAGTTTTAAGATAAGTTCTGAAGCAGATGCTAACATTTGCATCTATTAGCTAGCAGCTAAAAGTTAACCAGCTGTCTGTTTTGATTTTCTTTCGTTTCGAAAGTTTTTTATTGACAGAAACCTGCACAAGAAACTGAATTTCTCAGAGTGAAACTATGAATATGCACATTTCTTTTCGCGTTTCTTATGGCAGAAGTTAATGTCCCCAGTTAATTTTAAAATATAACTTGTTCTCTTTTCCATTTTATTATCTTATGAAAACAAAACAAAGCAAATTTTTGCAAGTTATAGCTTTGTAACTGTTGGATGTGAATCCAAAATGTATGTAGCGTGTATCTGTTTACAACCAGAGATTAAAATCTTCACATTTGCATGGGTTTAACCATGTTAACCTCTCAGTAGAGTTCAAGAATAATTCATGGTTACCAAAGAAGATCTCTCTCATACTGCGGTTCTTATTTATGCATTGTGCTGACAATAACATTCAAATCAGCTACATTGCACAATAGCGGCCAGTGTGTTCAGATAGAGACAATTGCAAAAGTTGGATTGTAGGTTATTCGATTTTGGTGGCGTCTGCATACGAGGAGTCTTGAGGGACCTCTGCTGTATGTGGAGTTCCTTTTCTCGGTCTCAGGTTTCAGTAGAGACAATGGACCACTGTAGTTGCCCCAGACAGCAAAGGACGAACCGTCCCACTACACTGTTCAGCTAACCAGCATATCTTCTTCACATCAACTATTGAAAGTCAACTTTAGGTATTCAGCATGCAGGAGGCATTTTAATTTGTTACAAAACTGAAATCTTTAAATATAGTTTAATGTTTTTTCCCCCTCTGGTTCTTTCCATAAATAGAAATTGCATAAAGGATTTAATGTGTAGCTCTCTGTAGAGATCATTTGAATTATTCATAAAAACATGATGTAACGTCAACAATTTATGTTAATATAAGCTAGCCTTTGTGAAATGTTCCAGATATTGAAAGCTCAGCAGCTTATGTTTAGGGATGATTCGAGCTTAGTAGATGTAATTCCTGCCCTTCTTAAAGGCAAAAGTGTTGGATTCTTAGAGAAGTTATCCAGAAAAGCAAGTCTAGAAGAATAAGAAAAACATGATGGCTACAAATTTACTCAGATCAGCAAAGAGCTTTTCATTACCAGATGTTTTAAGGTCAAACATCTGGGGAACATCTGGTTCTTTTTTTTAAGATGTTCTTCTAAAATTGTAAAATTTCCGAAAAGGGGAGGGAAAAAAAAAAACAACAACAAACAAAAGGTAGCTTGAAGAAGGTATTAACCTTAAAAAAAAGCAAAAAATAAATAAATAAACGACAGATCTTCACAGATTATAAACCCTCCACTCTATACGGTTCAGTTATTCATTTTGGACCCATGTTTCATAGAATCACACTTTTTTTCCCTTTTAAAAGCTGTGTTCAAATGCATATAATTGTCATTTTTTGTAGGTAACCAATGCCAGATGGTTTAACACATTTGCTAAATCCAATGTTGACAGTTTTTTTTTTTTTTTACAATTTTGATATCATCACTGCTCTAAGTGGTTTTTATTGCCAGTTACAGGCATTATTTAGAGTCTCTATACTCTATTTAACGATTAATCAATCACTAAATTTGTTGACGATTATTTCAATTATTGATTAATCACGTTTAATCACATTAATTGTTTCAGCCTTAGTATAAACAAAGATAAAAAATGGTCAGATGAGGGACTTGATTCTTCATTAGAGTCATCATCAAAGACTAAGTGCTTTTGGTGCAGTGTTGTCAACTTTTAGTCTGGTCTCTTTGCTGCTGTCATCCAGCAAGTTTCTATAGTTCTTTAATGAACTTAATTATAAATTAATTGCAATTATACATTGCATTGATCTTTATCCTCTGCATTTAACCAATCCCGTAGGGAGTAGTGAGAAGCTTTCAGCGCTTAGGGGGCAATCTGAGGCTAAGGGTCTTGCTCATTGACCAATAATTGTATAATATTGAGTTTAAAATGGTTTACTGCCTTCTCAAGCCATGCAGACTGCAAATGCATCTTTATGCTTTAATAGCTGCATTTTTTTATTGGTGCTGGTCACGTTTTGTTGCCTTTATCTGAAAAGTAAGTCGAGTATAGCTTCTATTACTTGTTTTCTAATGAATATGAATTTCATAGATTTCTGTGTTTGGTTAAAGTGTAAGGTAAAGGTAACGTGTCATTGTACTCATCTCTGATTGTCATGCTGAACCAAATTACAAATTTATTTAATAATTTATGTTATTTACTTACTCTTGGGTCAGAGAATATTTTTTTACCTGTATTTTAATGCCCAGTGTTATTGGTCGGCGAAATACATCCGGTTTTTTTTGCACGGTACAGCCCACTGTTTTTAGATTTGACGGCCTGACTGCACCTTAACTTTTGTTTTGGAATTAGACAGTTAACAGACAGTTCTGGTGTTGGATTGCATGAAAGGATGGACCTAATTTGTGTTTTTTGTTTCAAGGTAGGAGGGACAGAATGTGAGTCTGAGTCATTATTTGCCACTGAACTCCAGACCTGAAGATGAATACATTTAGTAAGACAGGGTTTAAGTGTATTGTGATACACATTGGGTTATAAGAAAATGCAAAGTCATAATTTTGGTTTTACGTCATGTTCCAAATTATCACCTATGCATAAACTATATTAAAGATGAGGTCCCCAGTCTTTAAGTAATTAGGTCCTAGGTTTATATCGTAAGTATTATTGAATATTCCAGTCATTTGATAAATCATTTGATTAGATGGCTTGAAGACTTTCTATTATGCCATAGTTTTTTATGAATTGTGGCCAAAGTGTGAAATTACCTTCAGGTACCTGGACATTAGGATACACACAGGTAAAAAAAAACAACAAACAAACAAAACATTTTTACAATTCTTAGCCGTGCGTCAGCAGAAAAAAAAAAACTATAGTCTCCTTTCTGATGTTTAATGAAATAGAATTTAGCCTTGTCAGAAAATAAAGGTCAATCTATTCTAACTGCACAGCCAAGTTTTCTGAACTGCTGGACTTCAGAAGGTTGAGTTAAGCTCTCTTTTTTCAGCTGGTGCGTTATGCAACCGCAGTAATTGTTCTACCGAAGATTTGTGTTTGAGTTCAGAAAACGCCAGGAGACGTCTTCCAAACAGCAAACATCAAAGAGCAGATACTCGATCTCAAATAAAGGTGGCCTGGCCTCGCCGGGGCTGCTGGAAAAGACACTCCTATTTATAAACGGGTTGTCTGACCGAGACATGTAGCAGAGGGAGTGATTCAGAGCCAGCGAGTTTTTGTGTGGGTGGGCAAACGGGTGGATGTACTGGTTT